TCAGAGCGCGTTTTGTTTGTATACCCCCGTTTACAATCACAAGGCAACGTTAGTTCACAACACTTTGATTAACACATCAGTGATTCGTTCCTGAATTCATGCATAACTGTCTGCGAGAGATCCCGGAAGACGAGCCCCCATTATGTTGTATATGTTGGGTATGAAAATTTGTTATGCTGTATGCGTGCGTGGGTGAAATTATTATGTTGTATATGTGGGTTATGAATATTCAGTGGAAATAATAATAATTAAATGAAATTTGGCCAAATGTGTAATTATCCGGAAATATGTTAATTTATGTAATTACGCACATTTTAATTATGTCAATTCGAGAGGTAATCGTATTAATTATGCGAGTGGGTGTAATTATGATAACGCAAGTCGTTATGATAACCAGACCCCGGTTCACCCCGTTATCGCTTTAACATTTACTGAGTATGTATTAGTGTGTTTATTAAGGTCACCAAGTTCAAATCTCAACGCAGAAGCAGATCTTATGCATAGATTTCAGGAAAGAATCACACAACCACTTCTGTATTAATCAATTTATTACTAATTCAACCTTAACTATGATATAATATGCGAACTCTCAATCCCGGAACGTCAACACGGCATCAATACAGTATCATCAACGATTGTCTGATTTCACTTTGACAACGGCACATGGATCCCGCATAACGCGATGGTTGTTAGTGAGAGAGAGAGTCGTTAAAACATGCAAATACTATGCTAAGAAAACCTTAACGTTAATGAATGATTATACTCAATATTGTTCACGCAGTACCGCACTCCTTATTGATCATACGCAACCCTTATCACGTTGTTAACACCTTGGGTCACGGGACAGTTGAATATTCTGTAGAGGATGCGAGTACGTGCGGCGATTATGACTGAAGGATACTTGAAAGATTATACGGCGAAAAAAAAAAACACAATCAAAACAGTTACTATTCTTAAAGGCACCAATCTCAACAGATACATCGGCAGGTTATCTGACAGCAGAACGGCTCGGAGTAAGGCCTGCGACGGTGCTCCTTTTCCGAAGATCGTTATCTTATACCAAGTTTACTAATTGGGGACCAGATCACCTGATAAGGATCCGGTGGGCCACCACTCCCCACGTGAGCGTGGCTCGGCGGAAGGAGGTGCCAAGAATCAGTTCGTATTGATGGATCTGTTGGGAATTTATGCGATTAAGAGTACAGCCCACTAAATATTAAAGATAAAAATTAAGAATACTCTTATACGACGGATGGCCACCACTCGGTCTCGTTGTGATGCCTTCCCAGCCACGGATGACTTATGGGTTCGAGTGTGTTTGAGTGGTAAGAGTTGTCTTGAATAGTCAGTGTTCGGAGTCGATTCTTTATGTCAAACAGACGCCTGGTGGTCGTGTGGTGAGGGGGCGGTGCGCGTCATACGTATCAGGCGCTCCCCTGTCACCGTGGTGAATTGCTCGGATGGCTGTTGATACGCTGTCGCAGTTCGGAACCCGGTCGGTAGGTGGCGCCCACAACTCGCTCGTAGCGTGCAGCGCTGGATCGTCGCCAAGTCGCGACGCTCACCACCGGCGGCAGCGGAGATCTCCGGCGGCAGCAGAGATTGACGAGCTGAAGATGAGTCGAGCCGACCCGCTGGTCGCAGCTCGCTCCTGAGTCGACCCTCCCGGTCGAGCTCGCTCCTGGGTCGACCCGCTGGTCGCCCTCGCTCCTGAGTCGACTCTCTGGTCGCACTCCTGAGTGGACCCGCTCTGGTCGCACTCGTTCCTGAGTCGACCCTCCCGGTCGAGCTTCTGAGTGGACCCTCCCGTCGCACTGGTTTCCAATGTTCAGGATCCGTTCCTTTATGCTGAAAAATCCCCCTGGATCCCGCCCACAAGGCGGGGCTTCCGATTTTTGCTGTGTCAGGATCTGTCCGTAGGCAGGTGTGTCCATGTGTGTGTCCGTATGTCCTTGTGTGCATCACTGACGGTATATTCCGTTGTCAACTCCCTCCATAAAACCCACGAGCAAACAACCAGATGTTACAAATTGTCTCGAAGTCGTCTCTCTGTCTGGGTGCAATTTATCTCTTGTCTGGCCTTCTTCATGAACCCAAAACACAGACGTTACAAATCGTCTCATAGGCGTCTTTGTTCGTGTTGCACAACCTGGGGGGAGGGGCAACACTCTCTCCGACCCGGCGCACAAAGAAATGGTTAAAAGTTTTAAGTTAACATTTGTCCCTTACTATTTCACAGTTATGATTCTGTATGTAACCTAAGGTCTGTCGTTTCCCATCGTGGTTCCCGACCCAAGTGTAGGTGTTTCCCCGAGCGTACACACACTCCTATCCCGCGCTGCGGGGATACAAAGACGGCCGGGATCTCCCTTTCTCTCCGACCCTGGGTTTAACATTGTTTTTTTTTTTTATTATGTATTTATATTCGACCTGGTGGTGATTCATCCCGTTATCCTGGCTTTTCCATAAGTTTTACTTTTGTCTTTCATGCATATACTTATTACTATTAATTTATTTCCGATATCTTAGGTTAAGGGGTAAGTTTCTTGATCCTAGGAATTCGTATTCCTTGGTGCCTGGATGGTTATATAAGCGGAATATAGTTTACGGTGAATAGCGTTAACATTGATGTTATGTGCGATATTATGTATTGTGATGTCTTTAACTTAACTTGTTTGTCAGGGCTTTACTGACACGAAGTTGCATTCCATAGCCCGCAGTCTTTGCCCCACCCTATCTCTGCTCGCCGTTGTTGTTGCCTGCCGTTAATTCAAGGCCTCATTAATTTCCGTCACCCCTGAGTAGGTGAGGGCGGTTGAACCTTGGAGTCAGTTCTGGTTTTTGTCTGCCTGCTTCTTCTTGTGTCCCCTGACCCCGGGAGTTATTATTCTACTTTATGGCCTGTCGAAGCCCCACTCGCTGTTGCTGGGCTGGTGTTGTTCCCGGCTTTTTGCTTACGTTTGCAGTTCGCCGTGCTCTTGATTTCCTTCCCTCTTCAACCTTATATTGACTATTCGCTCCTGTCTGGGTGCGATTCAATTTTGACTTAGGAAGGTTCTGATTGTCATATGCTTCGGGTCGAATTGTATAGAAAGTATTGAAGTATGGAAATAACATTTCATATTGACTTAATAATGGTGATGGTTCAGTAGGCGTAACTTGTGGCCTGGTTTAATTGGAGTGGGTGTGAATATCGATAACTTTAGCCTACCCTGTTGTTAAATTCCGACTTTAACGTTACTTTAATAGCAATACAGAATAATTGAGCTTTTTGTCTTAACTAGGCGAATGCGAACTTCTGGTGACCCCGCAGCCTTGTTGTTCAGCTGGGTCTGCCTCCTTGAGAGATATACACCACTCTTATTCTCGTCTCACTGTGGTCATCCAACCTTCTGCTCTGGGAGTGTTATTCTTACTTTCAGGTCAAAGGCCCCCTCACATCCAGACGCGCAGGGTTGTTTACATCAGCTCCCCCCCTGTGCACGTGTTCTAACTAGCTCGGAATTCCTGAACACACAATCAGTGATGATTCCTGGCTTTCTGTGGTTGTGATTTAGACAAAGGCGCCTCTGTTTTCTTCCATTGCCTTTGAGTCGACACTGCCCTATTATTTGCCCATGTGCTGAGGTCATAGAATTCGTTTTGACTTCAGTAATATTAACATTCAGTATTGGATTAGCAAATGGGCAATGGTTCATTGATGTAGCTCGCAGCCTGGTCTCCAGTTTGAGCGAGCGCGAGGATCGATAATTTAGCCTACTCTGTTGTTGAATTTCGAATTTTGACGTTACTTTAAAACCATGCAGGATGATTGGGCTTTTGCCTTAACTATGTCTGGCTGACACTCCCACTGTCTCTGCCGCCTGCACGGGTGACATGTGCCCGTTCATCAGGCCTTATCTTCCTTTGAAGCAACGTTGTAAATTCTGCCATCCTAGCCCTCCTCCGGTTCATTACTTAACAACACCTGGTGTTTTGCAGTTTGCTGCGCTTGGTGTGTTTCACTCATTAAAAAAAACAAGTAAAAAGATAATATATAAAAATCATCAAATATTATTAATCTCAATTATGGAAGAAGGGTTAGTATACAACAGGGGTTCATCACTTGAAGCGACCGCATTTCCCGTGAGGCTCAGCCGAGACACACGGTGGGTGAAGCTGGCAGTTTCCCCAGCAGCCAGACCACTTTTCACAATAGGGCCCTCCCTCGCCTTTTCGTTCCACCAACTGGTCCCCAGACACCCGCGATTGAACCCTGGAGTGTTGGTGGTTCTCAGCCGCGGTCGCCAATGACTCCTGCACAAAAATGCGACCGTCATTTCAAATTGGGGTTTTCGCTTTGATGAGCTCAATCCAGCTCTCGCGGACCAGAGGTTCGCTCGGGCCCATCGTGACGATCGCCCTTTGCACCATTCCTCTTCCAGTGATGTACGTAGGCGTAACGTCATCCGTTTTTTTCTTCCGATTCCATTCCGATGAGAGGGGGGGGTGTGTGGGGGACACGTCGTGTATTTTTTAAATGTGGCGGAGGATCCCGGAGGAGAGTAATCCACGCGACCGCCACGGGGAGAGAGAGGAGAGAGAGAGGAGAGCATGAGAACACACGCAGACTCCAGATGTACACAACAGGCAGGAGGTCGTCGCGGTCCGGGATTGAAGCACCCACCAACCTCTTGCGTAGAAGCCGAGGGAGATGAGCTTTCGGGGGTAGAGGGAGATTCTTCAATTTGTATCCAATTTCTCTTCGAATTGTTATGGCTACTTGCAACAACAACCAAAAACACCCACTACCCACCGCTGTTCCACGTGGGGACACCGTTACACCGCACGCACGCCGTTGCGGGGGGAGCCCCCGCCTAGACAGGCTCGTCCCGACCAATCGCACACCTCCGATTAGCACGGACGTCTACGTAGGGCGCGAAAGAAGTTCGACTTATCACGGCGCTGACTTTTGCCGCCGTCGTGATCGTGGTTATGGTTTCCCCCTCCCGTGCGCGCAGGTCCTGTGCGCTGGGCGTGGTGGCGCTGCTTTGCCTCCTGGGCGTCACCTGGGCCTTCGGGTTCCTCCTCGTCGACAAGGCCACTCTGGTCATGGCCTACCTCTTCACCATCTTCAACTCCTTCCAGGGCACGTTCATCTTCATCTTCCACTGCGCTCTGCAGAAAAAGGTGCCGATCCACTCTTTTCTCGTCGCACCGTTTTTAAATCCTTTATATTAAGTTCACTTGCTTGCTTGCGCGCTTACGACCGTGCAAATCTTTCAGTCGTTTTTTAACCCACTTCCCGTGATCCAATCGAGCTGACATTTTGCACACAGACTCGTTGTGCGTGACAATTAATGTTCGTGAAAATTTTTCCAAAATTTTACACTGTTTAGGACAAAAATATTATATTTAATTACCAATTGCTTAATGGTGCAATGCAATCATCTGACCCATAGGTGGCAGCCATCTCAAGCCAGAGGACGAGAGGACTCTAGCCGCCACGCATATAAAGGATTTATAGTGAAAAACTTTGTTTTTACGGGTTATACTTGTTTGTTTGTTCCGACGTGGAAGTGCGCCCAAAAATCTTAACAACTCGTAATTCGATCATTGTTTTTTTTACCCTTCTATCTGTCAACAAAACTGACACCTTTTTTTGTCAGTTTTGTTACCGGATGGAAGGGTAAACAACCAATTATCATATTTTTTACTGGCAAATGAGGTTCCAATTGGGTAACTCGTAATTCAAACTTTTTTTTTTAACCAGGTAAGGCCCACGGAGCGATATGGCTCTTTTTCAGGATCTTAAACAGAATCAGGATATGTGTTTCTAACTGGAGGAGGAATCCGATGAGCTATGAAGCTCTTTCTCACGGATGTCCAGTCAGGGCACAGAGTCAGAGCGTCACAACAGCGAACCGCACCTCAACACAACAGGTGTGCTAGCTTGTGGAAAGGAAAACAGATCGAACAACATTACTTGTTTTCTATTTCACCGGGTAAGTCCCACTGAACCTTTATACAAGTGACGGCTCAACGGAGTGGCTTGTCACGTGGACATTCATAGCAGCAGCCAAATTATCTATAATTTGGCTGCTGCTTGAAAACTCTGACCCCCTACCCCTCGCCTCCTACCCGTGCAGGTGGTTAAGGAGTACAACAAGTGCGTAGGGCATGCCGAGTGGTGCGTATGCTGGGGAAACAACTTCTCTTACGCGTCACTCCAACGGCAAACGCTGCTCTCCCAACGTGCAGGTACGCACGCACGCTACGCACTACATACACTACACACTACATACACTACACACACACACGCTATGCACACTACATACACACCACACACATACGCACGCTACATACACTACACACACACCACACACATACACTACACACACACCACACACATACACACGCTACATACACTACACACACACACGCTACGTACACTACACACACACCACACATACACACGCTACGTACACTACACACACACAACACACATACACACACCACACACATACACTACACACACACGCTACGTACACTACACACACACCACACACACGCTACATACACTACCCACACACCACACACATACACACGCTACGTACACTACACACACTGCACACACAACTACACGTGCTACTCTCCCAACGTGCAGGTACGCTGACGTTGAGGGAAAACAAGTGAACCGATGAGAGCGACGTCGACGTTGCCGGTGGTGGCGGCTGTGGCCGCAGCCCGACCCGGATCCCGTGCGAGGTCGCTCACCCGCGGTGCCCCGACTCGGTGGCTCACCCGCGGTGCCGCTGCCGCGACGGACGCACTCTGCCGCCGCCACCCTCGGCGATCGTCGCCAGGGAGGACGTCCACCCTCCTCCTCCGGCCGCGTACTTCACATCTGTCACGTGACCCACGCGTGTGGAAGCGTCACGCATCGTGGCGCAGCGATTAGCGCTACGCCGCGCTACGAACCCGGCAACCCGAGTTCGATTCCCGCTCACGGCCACCGCCGGTGACGATTATTTGAACCGGTCCTGGGCCTCCGCTAGGTCGACTCAGCCTCAAACGAGTAACTGGTGCGGTGTGTGAACGTCATCACTGGGGAGACAAAGGCGGCCGGGCGTGGTGGATCAAAGTCTCGGGCGAAGCCGGGTAGTACAGCTAGTAGCTTGACAAAGTCAACGATTCTCCACTTGTTCAACATCGTTGTCAACGCGTGGCCTGGAGTCTTCTCCAGGTGGTCTCCAGGTGCCCACAGGCACATTTGTCGTGGTGGTGGTGTTGGTGGTGGCGTTGCAAATTCTCAGAAGTGTTTTGTTTTTGCTGCCCGACCTGCAAGACGGCGGCGGAGGGCGGTGGCAGGGGACGCGTGGATGTCTCGTGTTGCTGGTTCAGCGGTAATGTTACGCATGCAACGCATTTACTAATGCAGATGCGTGCTTATTGTGCGCCACGACGGGACACATTGTACATGATTGCACGTAAAGAATATTCAGAATGTTGGAAATAATGTCTTCTACTTATAATTGTTTATGTATATCATGTACACTACTTCGCTGCATCGTGTCGCATATCCTGCATTGCGCAGTTTATATTGGTAACTGCACACAAATGCACATTTTGCATTAACCATGCAAGGGGTGGTAACTATTGCAAATAATGCATAATTACGTTAAAAAATGTTCATGTTTACAAATTATGCAATAAAGTACAAAATGACAGTTTGCAAATATTTGATTGATATTGATTGTGACTTTCACATTCTTGTACAGACACTCATTGTATATGGTCTCATCAATATCAGAATTTACACTGATTGCATTGTCCAATGCATTACACGCTGATCAGATGGTGCACAACTCCGCCTTACAATAAATCACGACTGAGGATCATTCCGTTTGCGACACTTCGCTATGAACCTGGCGGCCCGAGTTCGAATCCAGGCCACAGCTAACATCATTGTGGCGACAGTATTCAACTCTGCAAAGCAAATTATCAGTACAAAACGGACTTTCATGACCACAGGCATTATCAAGGTATCACAGGTCATTAAAATGCTCTATCAAAGCAAAATAGTGTCCTGTGCAAAACTGAGGTCCATCGCAACATTGACCCGCTGATGTTCATGAACAGTGCCGCTACGTGAAGTAATTGTAATGCGAGCGTACGCTGGTGTCCCCGCCCCAGCCCCTACGCCAACCAGGCGACACGAAGAAATACAGAGACGGAGACACAGTTTTGTTGACTGTTTTCCGGGGCAATGCCACTGACAGATCTTCGCTAATGGAAGAAACACAAAAGAAATGTCAATCTCCCTCGGCCTGGGGCTCCATGCAAGATCTCACCTCGTGGAGTTGCAATGATCATGAGAACGGTAAAGAATCAGCCCAGAACTACACGGGAGGATCTTGTCAATGATCTCAAGGCAGCTGGGACCATAGTCACCAAGAAAACAGTTGGCGACACACTACGCCGTGAAGGACTGAAATCCTGCAGCGCCCGCAAGGTCCCCCTGCTCAAGAAAGCACATATACATGCCCGATTGAAGTTTGCCAATGAACATCTGAATGATTCAGAGGACAACTGGGTGAAAGTGTTGTGGTCAGATGAGACCAAAATGGAGCTCTTTGGCATCAACTCAACTCGCTGTGTTTGGAGGAATGTTGCCTATGACCCTAAGAACACCATCCCCACCGTCAAACATGGAGGTGGAAACATTATGCTTTGGGGGTGTTTTTCTGCTAAGGGGACAGGACAACTTCACCGCATCAAAGGGACGATGGACGGGGCCATGTACCGTCAAATCTTGGGTGAGAACCTCCTTCCCTCAGCCAGGGCATTGAAAATGGGTCGTGGATGGGTATTCCAGCATGACAATGACCCAAAACACAAGTTACGACTTTGCTTGGTTAATAACGTCCTTTTGGCGTCATCTGGTCCAACACCATGTGAGACTAGGCGTACACACTATGTGTGTGTACACTGTGTATGCACACAGTGTGTGTGCACTGTGAGTGTACACTGTGTGTGTGCATTGTGTACGTACAGTGTGTGTTACATGTACGCACACAATCAGACAAGTATTCATTCTAAATTATTGACAGGCATATGCACAAAATGGAATTACTGCAGTGAAATATACTGCATCAGATAACATCTTATTCTCTGGTTCTTTCAGTAGTCACCTAGAACGAAATTTAATAGAATACGACGTTTCGATTGGAACACAAGCAACCATCGTCAGGTACAAGTGATGAGAAAACAAACATAGTGAACTTAGAAATATAATGCAACACAACACAGAGTAGGCCAACACAACAGTCAACACCCTACCTGGTTGATTACGTTCTTCCAAAATTGAACAATATAGTTTAGATAACATCTTATTAACAAGGAGCTATTTAAAGAATGCACCCTCTACTGAACAGTGGATGTGAAACACACAATTGCGCAATTCAAAACGGGTAGGCCTTTGCATGTTGGCGTCTGGGTCAAAAATGTAGCAAATCCTAAAACATTACCTACTAACGACACAGCTGAGATGCCACATCAACCATCGCCCCCTACTGACAGGCTCTTGTCCACACGCAGGCCGGTGCAGGGCCACCACCTTCTGCCACACAGGGGCAGCTGCTACTTGGAGCTGCTCTTAGAGTGTTTGAGACAAGCACCATGTAACAGCAATTATGATGAGAACATCGTGAATGCTTGGGGCTCTCGCTCCTGGTGAGAGATTGACCCAACCCACAGGTCCACAAAGACTGGCCACTCATCTTCTTGGTTCTTTCGGTAAAGTCACGTAGAAGGGAAGTAATAAAAATTAAACATAATAAAACAATTCTCACGACGTTTCGGCCACAACGCAAGCAGCTGTCCTCAGGTGAAAAACCAGGTCTGTCGAGGCGACAGCGTCTGAATGAAACAGCACACGTGCTTGGAGCATATATATAAGCTGGGTTGGAAGGGGGGGGGGGAAAGGGCGCCTTGACAAAAGAATTTGCATATCAAGAGGCATTTAGCATATTTATGGGAAATGCAGGTGATTAGTACTACTCATGCCCGTGCATTATGCAAGATTAGCAGCATCAAAGGGAGGGGATAGGGGTAGCATTAATAAAGGGAAGGAGTGTTAATAGTATGTAGCTGCAGTAACTGGCCACTCCCTCTTACCCTGCAGGTTGAACCTAGGAACTGAGTGTTCAACTTCACGTTATTGTCATTAAAGGCCAGTGACAAAGGTGCATCTATTGGAGCGACATCGTCTCTGGCTTACACATCTACCGGGTCTCCATTTGACTTTGTCTTGTCTCGGAGGAAGTCCACCCACACCTCCACTTCCACAAACTGTTGGGAGTTGCCTCGCTCTGCCTCACAGTCAGAATTCTCCTCCTGCTTCACGTTGCCACCATCGATGCGAAGGTCCCATTTTGGACTTGAATCTTCATCTTCACATTCCACCTTCACCTCTTCATATTTCACCTTGATACCTTTCAAAGTGTCCAAGCTGGGATTTTCTTCCGGTTCTTGTTTGATGAGGGATGGGCTCATTGGAGCACTTTGACTTTCACAAGCTGATTTCAGACTCCAGTCCTTGTGGATCTTCTGATGCTTGTGTGTTCTCTGGTGTTTTTTAAGATGTGCTGACTGTGCAAACACCTTCCCGCACGGAGTGCACCTGAAGGGGTTCTCTTCCGTGTGTGTTCTCTGGTGTGTTACAAGAGTAGATGACTGTGAAAATGCATTCCCACACACACTGCACTTGAAGGGTTTCTCTCCCGTGTGTGTTCTCTGGTGTGTTACAAGATCAGATGACTGTGAAAATGCATTCCCACACACACTGCACTTGAAGGGTTTCTCTCCCGTGTGTGTTCTCTGGTGTGTTACAAGATCAGATGACTGTGAAAACGCCTTCCCACACTTGAAGGGGTTCTCTCCCGTGTGTGTTCTCTTGTGTTTTACAAGAGTAGATGAATCTGAAAACGCCTTCCCACACACACTGCATTTAAAGGGTTTTTCTCCCGTGTGTGTTCTCTGGTGTGTTACAAGAGTAGATGAAAGTGCAAACGCCTTCCCACACACACTGCATTTAAAGGGTTTCTCTCCCGTGTGTGTTCTCTGGTGTGTTATAAGAGTAGATGACTTTGCAAACGTCTTCCCACACACACTGCACTTGAAGGGTTTATCTCCCGTGTGTGTTCTCTGGTGTGTTATAAGAGTAGATGACTGTGCAAACGCCTTCCCACACACACTGCATTTAAAGGGTTTCTCTCCCGTGTGTGTTCTCTGGTGTGTTATAAGAGTAGATGACTGTGCAAACGCCTTCCCACACACACTGCACTTGAAGGGTTTCTCTCCCGTGTGCGTTCTCTGGTGTATTACGAGATGACACAAAACAGAAAACGCCTTCCCACACAGAGTACACTTGAAGGGTTTCTCTCCCGTGTGTGTTCTCTGGTGTATTTTAAGATCAAATTGCCGTGCAAATGCCTTCCCACACACACTGCACTTGAAGGGTTTCTCTCCCGTGTGTGTTCTCTGGTGCTGTGTCAAGTTTCCAGTCGGATCCGTGCTGTATCCACGCTGGTCGCATTGTTGACTTGTCGTATCGACCTGCGCTGAGCGTCTTTGCTCCATCAGACCAAGCGACAGCTGCAGACAGAAAAAAATATATCCAAAACATCTACACGTCAGACACAGAGGAATGCACAAACACAGTCACACGTGACTTACACATCTATACTTATTCATATATTCATGATGTCGTGAAACAGTTTCCCAAATTCATCACACGGGCTGTTATGGCACACAATGAGAGGGTGAATGGTCACAAACATGCCTAGAAGCCCTCGTATCTTCAAAATGAATGTGAACCCAAAATTCCGAGCACACAATTTTGGCTGTCTGGCTACAAAATAAATATTTATAAGAGCTAAATTCGGCTGACATAGCAAAGGGTGTTAAAAACAATCCTGTTTGTGTTATGCAGAAATGCGTAAATACTGGTAGGAACCTCCTGGTTACACCAGCCCACAGGGGATTATTGTGTCCGTCGTGAAGGGAGGGGCTGGGTGGAGAGGGGCTGGGAGGGGCTGGGTGGTGGGTGGGAGGGGTGGGGCTGGGTGGGGAGGGGCTGGGTGGCACACAGCACACACACGTGCAGCAGCTGACGTCAGATCTGTTCATCCCATCATTCAAGGACATCTGAGCCTGGCTTCACACCGCTAAGTTGCCACTGAACAACATTCCTGCTGCGGAGGGAGCTGCTAGGAACACGTTGGGTTGCTCGCTCAACGGCCTGCAGGGTCAACGGCGGCGTGGTGTATTCCGCAAATATGCCCGACTGTGAGGGCGGGCACAAGCCGGCGTGAGTAGGTGAAACGTTGAGTTTTATAAGGGCACCACGGGGTGACCAGCCCCTCCCCACCCTCCCCTCTCCACCCAGCCCCACCCCTCCCATTTCTGGATGCACGACGGACGGACGGACACAATAATCCCCTGTGGGCTGGTAGAACCAGGAGGTTTCTAGCGGTGACATTAATGCTGCGTCACTCCACCAAGTAACGAATGGAGGATCAACCGACACAGCCGAGGCTCAAGCGGGCTTGGGCTGGTAAAAAAACGAAAACAAAACTGTGTTAATATCTACAATAAACCAAAGTGACAAAGTAGCGAGCCGGGTGAAGACAAATTAAACTTAAGGGAGGGAATTAAAGCAAACGCAACCAGGCGAGGGCAGGAGGCAAGGCCCCGCGTGTCTAGGCCCCGCGTTGTAAAGTTCCAACTTGGACATCGATTCACAAGCTCGCTGCTGCTCTAGTGACATCCCTACGAGAGAGAGAGCGAGGCTCTACCTTGGTAAATAACAACAACCACCACAACAACAACAACCACAACAACAACCACAACAACAACCACCACGACGATGAGAATTTCTCACCTCGGATTTCACTGCACGCGCGGGGCGACAGCTTCCTGTAACCTCGTGACGTCACGCGGCAGTAGGTGACATGACGTCACTTCCTGGGTACGAGATACGCCCCTCCCACAACGAGCGGCTCTGGAACAAGTTCAAGTACTAGGTGTAGCCCTGTGAGCCATTCAGCTCTTGAATCGGGTGCAACCGCAACAAACAAAAAACATGAACAAAAAACATCTTGTAGTGACTATGTGACTGAGTGCAAACAGAAAATCCAAGAAAAGACAGCAAAATTTTGCAGAAAAAAACACCGTTACACCAACGCTGTGTGCAAACATCCCAGTGGGATGCAAGTCAAACAACAACAACAACAACAACCACAAGACAACTTAGATTAAGGCCATCAGTCTAACTCTGTACTACAACAAACATGGCTAAACCAATACACTTTTCGAAATCACCAAAATAAAGCCATGAAAGCAATGAAAAAGCAATCATAGGAACTGTGACGGAATTTTCAGAATAAATGGCATAAACAACATGTACTACCAAAACCTTGCAGCCATAGCTGGCTGCATGAGTCACTCCACAACAGCAGGAGCATCAATAGGAGTATTATCATTTTTCAATGCACGTTTAAGATCAGCACACTAAATCAAAACACAGATCATACTTTGTAGCGATCATCCGGAGCGAAACATTTTATTTTAGGTCACTGAATAGCAGTGGCAGCTAGGGGTGTACAACTCCTCTAGAGCAGTTTTGAGTGAATATCTCATAGGTAGTGACTCAAGTTTCAATTTATTGGCAACAGCATTCCAGACCCTGGGGGCATCAATAGCAAAGGCCCTTCCTCCAGTATTTGTACGGCAATAGGGAATGTGAAGCTGGTAAATGAGCGAAAACCTGAGGTCACATTTGTTCTTCGAAACAGCGAGGAGATCCAGCAGGTAATCTGCGGATTTTTTTGCAAGTACATCATTAATCAATAAGATCTGGTGCACAAGCCGTCGAACATTGAGAGATGTTCAGTTTGACCCAATGTAGAGATCGCAGTGGTGGGTCATATATGGGCAGTTCAATGCAAATGTTGAGGCCGAGTGATACATTGAGTGAAGCTTTTTCAGGACAGTACATGGGGGCTGATTTATACACGATGTCACATTAATCACCTCGAGGCGAAACGCAACACGACAGGACAGGCTGGTCTCGTATTGATCACCACCCACTCACTCACTCACCACCCACTCACCCACACACTCACCCACTCACCACTCACCCACCCACCCACTCACTCACCCACTCACTCACCACCCACTTACCACCCACTCACCACACACTCACCCACTCACCACTCACCCACTCACCAGTGAGTAAGTGAGTGTGTGTGTGAGCGGGTGAGTGAGTGAGTGTGTGAGTGAGTGTATGTGTAGGTGAGTGAGTGAGTGGCTGACTGAGTGAGTGTGTTGGTGAGTGTGAGTGTGTGAGTGTGTGTGTGAGTGAGTGAGTGTGTGACTGAGTGAGTGAGTGACTGACTGAGTGAGTGTGTGAGAGTGTGAGTGACTGTGAGTGTGTGTGTATGAGTGTGTGAGTGAGTGCGTGTGAGTGTGTGAGTGACTGAGTGAGTGTATGAGTGAGTGTTGGTGAGTGTGTGACTGAGTGAGTGAGTGTGTGAGTGAGTGTGTGAGTGAGTGTGTGAGTGAGTGTGTGAGTGTGTGAGTGAGTGTATGAGTGAGTGTGTGAGTGTGTGAGTGAGTGTATGAGTGAGTGTGTGAGTGTGTGAGTGAGTGTGTGAGTGAGTGTGTGAGTGAGTGTGTGAGTGTGTGAGTGAGTGTATGAGTGAGTGTGAGTGAGTGTGTGAGTGTGTGTGTGCATCTCTCTCTGTATCTCTGTGCAGGGGATCCCTGTCCTCATCATTGGACATCACATCCTCTACGGCAAAGTGGTGAGCCTGGACAAGCCCTTGGCTGTATTGGTGAAGCAGCAGCATCATCAGCAGCAGCATCATCATCATCAGCAGCAGCAGCATCAGCAGCATCAGCAGCAGCAGCAGGAGGAAGAGACGGCACGAGGATCGGTTAAAGCGATGGATGCACATCCTGTGCTGAACGCAACTGGTTCGAAATGCACAATCACAGAGACCCACAGACTCGCATAGAGACCCATAGACCCACACAGAGACCCACAGACTCACCATAGAGACCCACAGACTCACCAAAGAGACCCATAGACTCACCACACAGAGACCCACAGACTCACCACACAGAGACCCATAGACTCACCACACAGAGACCCATAGACTCACCACACAGAGACCCATAGACTCACCACACAGAGACCCACAGACTCACCACACAGAGACCTACAGACTCACCACACAGAGACCCACAGACTCACCATAGAGACCCACAGACTCACCATAGAGACCCACAGACTCACCATAGAGACCCATAGACTCACCACACAGAGACCCACAGACTCACCACACAGAGACCCACAGACTCACCACACAGAGACCCATAGACTCACCACACAGAGACCCACAGACTCACCACACAGAGACCCACAGACTCACCACACAGAGACCCATAGACTCACCACACAGAGACCCACAGACTCACCACACAGAGACCCACAGACTCACCAAAGAGACCCATAGACTCACCACACAGAGACCCACAGACTCACCACACAGAGACCCACAGACTCACCATAGAGACCCTTAGACTCACACAGAGACCCACAGACTCAAACAGAGACCCATAGACTCACACAGAGACCCACAGACTCACCACGCAGTACGATGCTCCGTTGTGTTTCAGACTTGCCTTCGTCGGTTCGCACCCGCTACCTCGTGCAGGCTCTCATTCACACCAAGCTCCTGTTCAAGACCAGGCCGAAGCCAATCATCACCAACGTTCCCCGCAAGGTGTAAATCTCCGCTACCGCTTTGTGGAGATTCGTCAGAAGCTGCGACAGAGAGGAGGGGGGTGGGCGGATCGCAAGATGATGTGTGTGGACTAATCTCTATCCGTTCCATCTCGTGTGTGGACTAATCTCCATCCGTTCCATCTCGTGTGTGGACTAATCTCCATCTGTTCCATCTCGCTCCCTGTCTGTAGACTAATCTCCATCTGTTCCATCTCGCTCCCTGTCTGTGTGTGGACTAATCTCCATCTGTTCCATCTCGTGAGTGGACTAATCTCCATCCGTTCCATCTCGTGTGTGGACTAATCTCCATCTGTTCCATCTCGCTCCCTGTCTGTGGACTAATCTCCATCTGTTTCATCTCGCTCCCTGTCTGTGTGTGGACTAATCTCCATCTGTTCCATCTCGTGAGTGGACTAATCTCCATCCGTTCCATCTCGTGTGTGGACTAATCTCCATCTGTTCCATCTCACTCCCTGTCTGTGGACTAATCTCCATCTGTTCCATCTCGCTCCCTGTCTGTGTGTGGACTAATCTCCATCTGTTCCTTCTCGCTCGCTGTGTGTGTGTGTGGACTAATCTCCATCTGTTCCATCTCGCTCCCTGTCTGTGTGTGTGGACTAATCTCCATCTGTTCCATCTCGCTCCCTGTCTGTGTGTGGACTAATCTCCATCTGTTCCATCTCACTCCCTGTCTGTGTGTGTGGACTAATCTCCATCTGTTCCATCTCGCTCCCTGTCTGTGTGTGTGGACTAATCTCCATCTGTTCCATCTCGCTCCCTGTCTGTGTGTGTGGACTAATCTGCATCTGTTCCATCTCACTCCCTGTCTGTGTGTGTGGACTAATCTCCATCTGTTCCATCTCGCTCGCTGTGTGTGTGGACTAATCTCCATCTCTTCCATCTCACTCCCTGTCTCTGTGTGTGGACTAATCTCAATTCGTTCCGTCTGTGTGGGGATTGAGCGTTGCTCCCTCGCACGATGGTGGGTTCGTCTCCGGGTGCTTCGCTATCCTCGCCGCCATGAGACTAATAAAGATGACCCGTGACCAGGTGGTGGTGGTGGTGGTGATGGTGGTGGTGGTGGTGATGGTGATGGTGGTAGTGGTGGTGATGGTGGTGGTGGTGATGGTGGTGGTGGTGATGGTGGTGGTGGTGATGGTGATGATGATGGTGGTGATGGTGGTGATGGTGGTGCTGGTAGTGGTGGTGGTGATGGTGGTGGTGATGGTGGTGGTGGTGGTGATGGTGATGGTGGTGGTGATGGTGGTGGTGGTGATGGTGGTGGTGGTGATGGTGGTGGTGGTGATGGTGATGATGATGGTGGTGATGGTGGTGATGGTGGTGCTGGTAGTGATGGTGGTGATGGTGGTGGTGATGGTGGTGGTGATGGTGGTGGTGGTGATGGTGATGGTGGTGATGGTGGTGATGGTGGTGGTGGTGGTGATGATGGTGGTGGTGGTGATGGTGGTGGTGGTGATGGTGGTGGTGGTGGTGGTGATGGTGGTGGTGATGGTGGTGGTGATGGTGGTGGTGGTGATGGTGGTAGTGGTGGTGGTGGTGATGGTGGTGGTGATGGTGGTGATGGTGGTGGTGATGGTGGTGATGGTGATGGTGGTGATAGTGGTGGTGGTGGTGGTGATGGTGGTGATGGTGGGATGATGGTGGTGATGGTGGTGATGGTGATGGTGGTGATGGTGGTGATGGTGATGGTTATGGTGGTGATGGTGGTGGTGGTGATGGTGGTGGTGATGGTGGTGATGATGGTGGTGATGGTGGTGGTGGTTGTGATGGTGGTGGTGGTGGTGATGATGGTGGTGGTGGTGATGGTGGTGGTGGTGGTGATGGTGGTGGTGATGGTGGTGGTGATGGTGGTGGTGGTGGTGGTGATGGTGGTGATGGTGGTGGTGATGGTGGTGATGGTGATGGTGATGATAGTTGTGGTGGTGGCGGTGATGGTGACGATGGTGGTGATAATGATGGTGGTGATGGTGGTGATGGTGATGGTGGTGATGGTGGTGATGGTGATGGTTATGGTGGTGATGGTGGTGGTGGTGATGGTGGTGGTGATGGTGGTGATGATGGTGGTGATGGTGGTGGTGGTTGTGATGGTGGTGGTGGTGGTGATGGTGGTGGTGGTGATGGTGGTGGTGATGGTGGGATGGTGATGGTGGTAATGGTGGTGATGGTGATGGTGGTGATGGTAGTGATGGTGGTGGTGATGGTGGTGGTGATGGTGGTGATGGTGGTGGTGATGGTGGTGGTGGTGATGGGTGGTGGTGGGGGTGGTGATGGTGGTGGTGATGGTGGTGGTGATGGTGGTGGTGGTGATGGTGGTGGTGGTGATGGTGGTGGTGGTGGTGATGGTGGTGGTGGTGATGGTGGTGGTGGTGATGATGGTGGTGATGATGGTGGTGATGGTGATGGTGGTGGTGATGGTGGTGGTGATTGTGGTGGTGATGGTGGTGGTGATGGTGGTGGTGATGGTGGTGATGGTGGTGATGGTGGTGGTGATGGTGGTGATGGTGATGGTGGTGATGGTGGTGGTGATGGTGATGGTGGTGATGGTGATGGTGGTGATGGTGTGTAGTTTAGAGCTTGAGTGGCTCGGTGAGTGAGTGTTGGGTGGGTGAAGTGAGTTGGTGGGTCGGTGGTTGAGTAAGTGGGTGAGCGATGAATTGTGTGGGTGTGTTTTTTGTTCGTGAGTTGATGGGTGGGTGAGTGGGTGAGTAAGTGGGTGGGTGGGTGGGGTGAGTGAGTGGGTGAGTGGGTGAGTGAGTGGGTGGGTGAGCAAGTGAGTGAATGGGTGTGTTGGTGGATGAGTGTCGTAGGGTGAGCAAGTGGTTAACTAAGTGAGTGAGTGGCTGGCTGGGTGGGTGAGTTGTTGACTGAGTGGGGTCAGTGTAAGTTGATGTGGCAGTCCACTGTTGGTATTCAGTGGCAGAGGTGGGACAAAGTCATTGTTATGCAAGTCCAAGTCGAGTCTGAAGTCATCAAATTCATGACTCGAGTCTGACTCGAGTCCAAGTCACATGACTCGAGTCCACACCTCTGTTCAGTGGCATATTAAACTGCTGACTTCGCTATTTCTGAGTTTTCTACCCCCACAAAAACACCACTTCACCCACAACCAGGAGCCATTTTTTTATTAAAATACCAACAAAAATTTCGTTTGAACAAAACGATTCCGACAAAATGTTGAGGCGGTAAAGTGAATTAAAAACTCACAATGAGGTGAATTATCTGTGTCATGTTATTGTGTCTTTAGCACCCCCCTCCACCCGCCCCCCCTCCACCCCCTCCACCCGCCCCGCCCCTCCCCCTCCACCCTCTCTACCCCCGCCCCCCTCCACCCGCCCCGCCCCCCTCCACCCGCCCCCCTCCACCCGCCCCTCCCCTCCACCCGCCCCGCCCCCCTCCACCCGCCCCCCTCCACCCGCCCCTCCCCTCCACCCGCCCCGCCCCCCTCCACCCGCCCCCCTCCACCCGCCCCTCCCCTCCACCCGCCCCCGCCCGCGTCTCTCCGTGAAGGTTGAAAGCTCCTCAGCCGCCGCCATTTCAGTCTCCGACCGACGGCGCGAACAGCAGCAGCAGGTGAGACACACACACACCTACACACACCTACACACTACACACCTACACACACCTACACACACACACCTACACACACCTACACACACCTACACACACCTACACACCTACACACACCTACACACACACACCTACACACACCTACACACACCTACACACACACACACCTACACACACCACACACATACACCACACACCACCACCACACACCCCCACACACACCACACACACACACCACCACACACACACCACACACACCACCACACACCTACACACACCACACACCACACACACACACCACACACTCACCCCACCACTCACCCCACTCACCCCACTCACCCCACCACCCACTCCCCATAGACTCACCCCACCACCCACTCACCCCACCACTCACCCACCACTCACCCAACCACCCACTCAACCCACCACTCACCCCCACCACTCACCCCACCACTCACCCCACCACTCAACCCAATCACCCCACTCACCCCACCACTCACCCCACCACCCACTCCCCATAGACTCACCCCACCACCCACTCACCCACCACTCACCCAACCACCCACTCACCACACACTCACCCCACTCACCCCACCACCCACTCACCACACACTCACCCCACTCACCACACACTCACCCCACCACTCACCCCACCACCCACTCACCACACACTCATCCCACTCACCACACACTCACCCCACCACTCACCCCACCACTCACCCCACCACTCACCCCACCACTCACTCACCACACACTCACCACACACCCCACCACTCACCCCACCACCCACTCACCCCACTCACCACACACTCACCCACCACTCACCCCACCACCCACTCACCACACACTCACCCCACCACCCACTCCCCATAGACTCACCCCCACCACCCACTCGCCCCACCACTCACCCACCACTCACCCAACCACCCACTCACCCCACCACTCACACCCACCAACTCACCCCACCACTCACCCAATCACCCCACTCACCACACAATCACCCCACTCACCCCACCACCCACTCACCCCACCACTCACCCCACCACCCACTCCCCATAGACTCAACCCCACCACCCACTCATCCCACCACTCACCCAACCACCCACTCACCACACCCTCACCCCACTCACCCCACCACCCACTCACCACACACTCACCCCACTCACCACACACTCACCCCACCACCTCACCCCACCACCCACTCACCACACACTCACCCCACTCACCACACACCTCACCCCACCACTCACCCCACCACCCACTCACCACACACTCATCCCACTCACCACACACTCACCCCACCACTCACCCCACCACTCACACCCACCACTCACTCACCACACACTCACCACAACACCCCACCACTCACCCACCACCCACTCACCCCACTCACCACACACTCACACCACCACTCACCCCACCACCCACTCACCACACACTCACCCCACCACCCACTCCCCATAG